GGAGGGTCTGGAGAGTGGTAGGTCTTCCCATAGCTTTACTGACTTTTCTCTTTTGCATTTCAGGAGTAAAGTTTAAGTTTAGTTGCAGGTAGACGTTCACTGTCACTATTCAAAATTTCCACCTCCTTCTCTCTTAATTATTTGCAGGAAAACTTCAGAAGCCCATCCTGAGGGCTGATCCAGGCTCTGTGGTCAGCAGAGGCAATGCTGTGACTATCTGGTGCAAGGGTGCTATGCAAACCCAAATATGCTTCCTGCATAAAGAAGGATCCCCAGCTCCCTTGGATCAACAATCTCCTCGTGGGAGTCTTAACAATGCCGAGTTCTCCATCACACCAGTGGAGAAGAATCATGCAGGGCAATATCGCTGTTACTGTTACAACTCTGCCGGTTGGTCAGAAGGCAGTGATGCCCTGGAGCTGGTGGTGACAGGTGAGAGGACTCATCCCCTATCCCTGGACCTGCCTTGAACATAGGAATATGTTTACATTGGGTTCCATTTCTCAAACTCCAACAGAGGGACAAATGCATACCAGAATGGGTACACTGAACAGACTTCCTCTTCTCATCTAGGAGTCTACCAGAGCAAAGTCTCCTTGTCAGCCCAGCCCAGCCCTGTGGTGGCCTCAGGAGGTTATGTCACACTTCAGTGTTCCTCCCAAGAGAGATATAACAAGCTCGTTTTAATGAAGGATAGACAAAAATCCCCCTGGCTTTGGGCCTCAAGGAATGCAAACACTGGTGTATTCCAGGCCCTATTCACAGTGGGTCCTGTGACCCCCAACCAGAGATGGAGATTCACATGCTATGGCTATTATGTGAACAACCCCCAGATGTGGTCAGCACCCAGTAACCATCTAGAACTTCTGGTCTCAGGTAAGGAGAGCCTAGAGTTTCCTTTGAATGATGACTTACTTGCAGGGAAGGACCTGATATGTGTTGAGTTAATGAACTCAGGATCCCGAGTCTACTATCACAGAGTGTGGGACACAAAAGCATCTGAGGGTCAGAAACAAAGGTGGAGAATAACAGTGGGACTCAAGAGTCCATGGAAATATTGTCTTTAAGTGTCCTTCTGCTTTGCCTATCACCTAACGTGTCATTTGCATGTGCAAGTATCCTAAGAGATGCATCTCATTTCCTCTACGTTAGATGGCTCCATGTGTCCTTCTCTTATTCCAGAGTCAACTACAACTCTTACATTTGCTGTACAATTTTTTAAAACCCCATATCCCTCTCACACACTTCTTTGCAGGGACCCTCCAGAAACCCAACATCTGGGCCGAGCCAGGCTCTGTGATCGACGTAGGGAAGTCTGTGGCAATCTACTGTGAGGGAACCAGGCAAACCCAAATATACTTCCTATATAAAGAAGGATCTACAGGACCCTGGGACAGATTAACCGCACCTGTGCCATATCACAAGGCCAAGTTTGTCATACCCTCTGTGAACGAGCATCATGCAGGGCAATATCGCTGTTACTGTTATAATTCTGGAGGGTGGACTCAGCACAGTGATTCCCTGCAGTTGGTAGTGATAGGTGAGTGGACACTAAAGGTCTCAACCTTCACCTTTATCTTTTGTAGAGCACTGAATCCTCTGCTGATGGCAGGGAAATGACCCACAGGAAGTGATAAGGAAAACTCAGTTCAGGCTGGCATAGCAGTTACTTGTTCATATTTTATAAGTCTGACAGGAAGTGTTTTATAGTAAGTATATTTAAACACTATATACACTTTTGGAGGAAAAGATTCCTGGTGTAATGGAAAATCCTGTGAGAAAATTAGGCATACATACATAAAAATGTAACTGAAATACATGTGACCATCAAGATGAGATCCATATCTTACGGGTCTTTGGTCTGTTGTGGTCTTTGAGAGAGAGATTGTAAAGGTGTCTGCAGTGTATAAGAAACATGTGACATTTCTCCTAAGGATTGGCTTTCTTAACTGAAAGCAAACAATGAAAGTCTAGGGAGGCAGAGTCTGCAATAAATACTCTGAGGGATTTAGGTGAGAACTGGCTCTACAGATAGAAAGGTCACCTGGTTATTAAAACCATTCACTTCTTGGTGGGAATCAGATATTAATTGTCTTCATTGGGCAGACACCCTGCTTGAGTAACATTCCTGATTTCCCACATATTATTTGTTAGCATGAGTAAATTGTGCCCTCTTCATTTTCCCTCAGGAAATACAACTCCTAAATGTTTTCACCCAGAGCCCAGTTGATGGAGACAATGTATCATTTAACAGGCTGCATCCTCTATTTCCTAGGTGTCTACCATGGTAAACCTAGTCTCCCAGCCCTACCCAGCCCTGTGGTGATGGCAGGTGGGAATGTGACACTCCAGTGTGTCTCATCAAAGCCCTATGATTGTTTCATCATAACTGGGGAAGACCCGAATTTCTCCAGCGACCCCAAGGCAGTGTGCACAAACACTGTACAATCCCAGGCTCATTTTCCTGAGATCCCTGTGACATCCAGCAAGAGTGGGCCCTTTACATGCTATGGATACCACAAAACAAACCCACATATCTGGTCAGAGGCCAGTAACTCTCTGGAGATACATGTCTCAGGCTCTTAACAATGCCGAGTTCTCCATCACATCAGTGGAGAAGAATCATGCAGGCCAATATCGCTGTTACTGTTACAACTCTGCCGGTTGGTCAGAACGCAGTGATGCCCTGGAGCTGGTGGTGACAGGTGAGAGGACTCATCCCCTATCCCTGGACCTGCCTTGAACATAGGAATATGTTTACTTTGGGTTCCATTTCTCAAACTCCAACAGAGGGACAAATGCATACCAGAATGGGTACACTGAACAGACTTCCTCTTCTCATCTAGGAGTCTACCTGAGCAAAGTCTCCTTGTCAGCCCAGCCCAGCCCTGTGGTGGCCTCAGGAGGTTATGTAACACTTCAGTGTTCCTCACAAGAGAGATATAACAAGTTCATTTTAATGAAGGAAGGACAAAAATCCCCCTGGCTTTGGGCCTCAAGGAATGCAAACACTGGTGTATTCCAGGCCCTATTCACAGTGGGTCCTGTGACCCCCAACCAGAGATGGAGATTCACATGTTATGGCTATTACCAGAATAGCTCCCAGCTGTGGTCAGTACCCAGTAACCACCTAGAACTTCTGGTCTCAGGTAAGGAGAGCCTAATTTTCCTTTGAAGATGACTTACTTGCAGGGAAGGACCTGATATGTGTTGAGTTAATGAACTCACGATCCCGAGTCCACTATCACAGAATGTGGGACACAAGAGCATCTGAGGTTCAGAAACAAGGGTGGAGAATAACAGTGTAACTCAAGAGTCCATGGAAATATTGTTTTTAAGTGTCCTTTAGGTGAGAACTGGTTCCGCAGATAGAAAGGTCACCTGGTTATTAAAACCATTCACTTCTTGGCGGAAAACAGATATTTATTTTCTTCATTGGGCAGACAGCCCGCTTGAGTAACATTCCTGATTTCCCACATATTATTTGTTAGCATGAGTAAATTGTGCCCTCTTCATTTTCCCTCAGGAAATACAACTCCTAAATGTTTTCACCCAGAGCCCAGTTGATGGAGACAATGTATCATTTAACAGGCTGCATCCTCTATTTCCTAGGTGTCTACCATGGTAAACTTAGTCTGTCAGTTTTGCCCAGCCCTGTGTTGATGGCAGGTGGGAATGTGACACTCCAGTGTGTCTCATCAAAGCCCTATGATTGTTTCATCATAACTGGGGAAGACCCGAATTTCTCCAGCGACCCCAAGGCAGTGTGCACAAACACTGTACAATCCCAGGCTCATTTTCCTGAGATCCCTGTGACATCCAGCAAGAGTGGGCCCTTTACATGCTATGGATACCACAAAACAAACCCACATATCTGGTCAGAGGCCAGTAACTCTCTGGAGATACATGTCTCAGGTAAGGAACTCTCATACACTCAACTGTTTTTTGACATGATATCCCTTTGTCACTAGCTCTACTTCCCTGACGATGGTTTCAGTCACGATACTATAGGGAGCTCTTGATTGCTATGACCCAGAATATGAGAGACCATGACACTCTCAGAGCAGAGGGAGGGGGGTATTGTCCTACTTATGATTCTACTATTGAAATGAAATTCCATGACAAACAGCAAGTTGTAAAGGAAAATGTTTGTCTTACACTTTCAAAGCACTATTTATCCTCAGAGTAAATCAGGACAGGAACTCAGACTTGTCAGGAACCTGAAGTCAGTTGTTGGTGCAGAAGCCCTGGAGGGATGCTGATTACCGACTTGCTCAGCCTGCATTCATATTCAACCCAGGACTACATCTAAATTGAGGGTACCGCACACAATAGAATGCACACTCATCCATCAATTCCTAATTAACAATATACTATACAGGATTGTGTGCAGCACCATAAGGTGTCATCAGAGTCTATTGTATCCTTTGGGATAGGGCCTAGGCCCAACCCCATGTGTGTGTTGGCTCAGGGAGTATTCCTCTATATGGAATGGGCTTCCAAAGTCCACACCTATGCTGGGGATAAGAACTGAACTTCTACAGGAGGTCCCATAGATTTCTGAGGTTTCCTCACAAAAACCAGTGTTCCAGGGGTCTGGATCAGTCCCATGCTGATATTCCAGCTATCAGTCTGGGGAACAAGAGTTCCCTGATGTTCAGGTCAGCTGTTTCAATGGGTTTCACCAGTCTGGTCTTGATGCCTGTGGTCTTCACTCGTCCTTCTCTGAATCTGGGTTTCAGTTCAGTTTGGTGATTATTTGTGGGTGTACACTAACTGGATTCTTATCATGCTTTCTCAGCCTTCTCTCATGTAGAACACAGAAACAACATCCCAGGGATGGTACTACCCACAATGGGCTATGCTCTCCCTTGATCCCATGGAGTCTGATGACTAAGATCTAAACTAGAATTCTGTTGCAGGATTGGATCAGAAATTCAGTCTATATAGGGAACATGTGGAGTCTCTTCTGAAAATAACACATGTAAAAGCCCCTCTCATTTATGATTCTCAATTTCTACAGGTATTAATCAGAGACCCTTGGCCCAGATGTTAAGTTCCCTTTAGTTCTGATCATATTTGTGTTTTTCTCATACAGAGAATGTTTCCAGAAACCACTTCTGCAATTGCCCTGCTCTTTCTGACATTGTGAGGGTAACTTTGTGTGGGGGTATGCAACAGGGCCAGGGCTTCTTCCTTGGAGTTC